TCTTGTATGTATTAGGTATTGAATTTGGATGCCTTGCATTTAACAGGCCAAGCCCTCTGCTACTGAGCCTCATCTCTACTCTAGAGAAAAGAGTGTGTGGTCTTGCATTCCAGACCAGCCTTGAACTTGTCTGTGTAACTGAGGCTGGCCTTGCACTCTGAGTCTTCTTATCTATGACGGATGTGCACCACCATACCCTCTGTAGATAATGCTGGAATGAACCTAAGGGCATCATACATGCTAGGCAGGCATTCTACCACCTAAACTGCATCCCTGGTCCTTTTCCCGTGACATTTTGTTTTTGAGACTGTATACAATGCTGCAGTGCTGGTGGTGCTCCTTCCCTTGTTTTTTGTTTTTATTTTTCATTTCTTTTTGCTTCTTTGAGACGGGGTTTCTGTGTAGCCCTGGCTGTCCTGAAACTTGCTCTGTGAGCCAGGCTAGCCTTGAACTCAGAGATCCATCTGCCTCTGCCTCCCAAGTGCTTGGATTAAAGGTAGGCCAACACCACCTTGTGAATTTGGTGTTTTAAAATAAACTTTTGAAATAAGCAGAAAGGTTGCAAAGACAGTGCAGAGAGGGGTAACTGGCGGTTCTTTTTCCCCTTGGTGCATCTGTCACAGCCAAGAGTCTGTCCACCCTTTTTCTGTCCCAGTGCCGCACACAGATGGAGCCCCTCCCCCATCCTCGACCCGGTCGTGCTGAGTGGGTGCTTCCACATTTAGTTGCCATGCCCTTCTCAGCATGTGTGCAACCATCATTTTGTGTGGTTGTGGTGTGTCATCCATAAGGCCTGTGAGCCTTGTCCAGTACCCAGGTCTGAGTTGTGTGTTCATCTCTCTCCCTGATTTTTACCCAGATTTAGATGGTAGCCTCGCCTCTGTCCTAAAAAAAAAAAAGCAGTAGTCCTGTGGGGAGCCAGGCCAGGAGCAAAGGTGGAGCTGCTTGGAACTTTTTTCTAGTGCGGAGGGGCTTGTGCTGAGGAGTGAGGCGGCTGGTTGCAGGCAGTTGCATCAGCCCTGGCTCTGATGGGTAGGAAAGGGGTGAGGGAATTCTCTGGGGGCCACAAAGCACCTGGAAACAGCTCCTAGGTAACAAATCTCTGGATAGGAGGTCCCCTGGCAGCAGTAGGGAGGGGGTACTTGGAGGGGCGTGCCTGGGCAGAACCCAGAGAATCTGGGGCTTTGTGCTGAGAAAAGGCCTGGCATCCCAGAGGCTCCTGACTTGATTATGAAAGACAAGACTGGGACTTGGAAAGGGAAAGAGAATTGTGCATGGCCACAGTTGTCCTTGATAGGACAGGGTTCCCCACCCTGCCAGGGTCCCATGAGTCCTCAAACCCAGACTGTTACCTAGGTTTGTTCTTTGCTTCAGTTACTAGATGCTATCTGTACCAGCCTGCCTTAGAGGAGACATACTTTACCGGATCTGCTTTTTAATTTCTGGTTAGTATGCAGAGAAAGGGCTTTCACTGCAGCACTTCCTATGTAGCTTTGTTTTTGCCCACCCAGCTGCCTCCCACATTGCCTGTACTGTTGCAGCAAACCCTAGTTTCCCAATTGAGGGAACAGCCCTGTGATAGAAAAGGCTTGGGCTTTATAGGACCTGTTTATGGCCAAGGGTTGGTTTCCATCTGCAGAGTAGAGTGAACACTGGCCTCTCAGTTGGCTTCCTAGTGTAAGTGCATGTGGCATCATATCTGACTCATTTTCCTAAGAGGACCTACCTGGCACGTGGAGATGAGCTTCATCAGCACACGCTGTTAATGCTTGGGTGTGTAGACTAAGGTTGTAGCTGGGGGAGAGCTCTCCTAGGAGATCGGAGTCTGATGTAGCTTCCCTTCCTGTCTCACCATATTTCTACATTCTGACCTGCCTAACAGACGGGTGGATATCTGTGTGCATGACCATCCCCTCCAGTACATAGAGAACAAGATCAGACTTTGTTTTTTCCCAGAATCCTCCCCCATAGCCCCCAGCACTGTGCCGCTGCTCCCCACACACACACACACACACACTCCCATAGGCAGCAGGTACACTTCCAAATGAGTTGTTTGTGTCAGAGCAGGGAACTTGATACCATAATTCCCACACAGTGCTAGGGAGCAAGTTAAGCTATGTCCCTAAGGCCAGCAGGCCACGGTTGGAGGTGGGTGTCCTGGCAAACAAGGGCAGAAAGGCCAAGGCCAGCTCAGCTGGGGAAAGGGCAATGCCACGTGGCCAGGTGCTCAGAGTTCTCCAGTGGACTGTGTTGTAATTCTCATCTCTGTCGGGTTGGCCCCATGCTCCTGCACCAGCTCCTGCATTGTGGGTGTAACCTGCACTCATTTGTTCCCCGTTGCTGCTGTGATGGATGGGAACTTAAAAGACTTGGACAGCATACATTTGCTACCTTAAAATTCTGGGGGTTCCCAAGGCATTGGGTTCCTGGCTATACCAGTATCTAGAGGTAACCTCATTTTGAGGCTGTGGCCCCTTGTATCCCTTGGGCCTGACTCTGCCTCCATCCTAGCCACTTCTTCCTTCCTCTGAGCCTCCTGCTTTCCTTGTAGATGCCGTGTTTGTGCATTGGGCCTTTTCAGATAATCCAGGGTAACTGAGTTTTGGAAGAGCCTTTATGTAACTTAAACAGAATGCTTTTCCAGTGGGGTAATATTCCCAAGCCATGGGAACTGGTGTGGATGAATCTCGGGTGGCCATCCAACCTACTACATCTTTCCTTTCAACCTGTGTCATCTAGAAGATATATGCCCTTACAGAGGGAAAGGGCTGTGGAGACTGGTGGCAGTTGACTCTGTAGTGTTCTGGAACCTAGAAGCCAGTCCTGATTACTGTGTGCCTGACATCTTGGTGAAGGAAACAGGGACAGGGACAGCCACTTCAGAGCAATGGTGGTAGAAGGTTAATTGTGAAAGGACACAGGCGTCAGGACGGAACTGTCCCAGAGGGACAGGAGAGCCCCTCTTGAACATCCCGGCCACATCTGAAAGAGATCACTGGTTGTGCTGAGTTGATAGGGAAGATGGGGGTCTAGATTTTGTCTGAGGTTCAAGTTAGGACTATTAGTACTTTAGAAAACTTGAAATCCCCACAGTTTGTATCTGGTCCCTTGGAGCTTGGGGGGGGGGGGCTTGGAGTCTTTATGGCTGCACCACATTCCAGAGTTTCTGAGAACCTTTGCAAAGAGGGACCTGCGGGACAGGGCTGTGAAAGAAACTGACCTCAAGCCTCTTCCAGATTGTTTGCCAAGTGTCTGCCACACCCTACAGCATCTCGGTCATCTCTTCTGTGGACCACCTGGTGGTTGTGAAATGGAGCATCTTTGTGGTCTGACATGGATTTTCAGGAGAAAAATTTTCATGGTGGTGATGAGAATTTCCAAGGAGCAGACCTTTGTCTAGAATGACATGGTGACCTGAGATCACCACCCCTTCCCACCTGGAGTAGCTTAGCTTCTCCTTAACAAGGGGCTCCTGTAATAGCTTCCCTGGACCCTTCCCTAACAATGTTTTGGGGAAGCCTGACACCATTTCCTGGGCTTCTGGTACTGTTGTAAGCAGAGTTTGACATTGTTTGATGTATGGTCCTGTAGCTCAGTTGTGTTGGCTGTCGGCTCTAAAGGACAGGTAAAGTTGGCAGGAGTGGTTTTATTTTGCTTTCTTAGTGAATGGCATCTGAGTTTTGTGGTAGTTTGGGTTGGAAGAGACATGGATTTGACTAACCAATGCTTTTATCACATTTAACAATGGGTGTTGCAGGCTGAGCTGTCTTGCTGTCTTTATTGGCCCCACAGGTCTGTCCTTGCTGTGGTGTGTGTCAAGTGGCCAGCTTGTGTTTATTATTGATGTTGTGTTGGTGTAGTAGGTGTGGAAGGTCTGGAGCTTCCTCTGGTGAGTGAGGGTATATCTGGGACGCTGGTGACAGAGCAGATGAGTGGTAGGCTGCCGGGTTCAGGTGCTAGTCCTGGAGAGGTAGCATGTGCTTGCTACACAGCCAGCCAGCCAGCAGCCGACCCCCAAGTGTACCTGGAAGCTGGCTTCCCGAGCCTGCTGGGGGAAATAATGATGTTTGTTTACAGAGAAAAATTAATTTCCTGGGTGTCTGTTAAGCGGTGTGAATGGATAAGATGTGTCCCAACCATAGACTGCAACAGCAGCCAGAGTGAAAAACAAGTTGGAAGCAACTTACGGGGACAGTCTGTGATATACACAGAGAAGGATTAAAGACAATCTGTCCCTAAGGGGCAGGAGCTACTCAGAGCACTGTGGGACTCCTTCCTTTGTTTCTGTGGTGTGTGAGCTTTTGTAAGGTTGTGTGCCCTGTGTGTGCTGTGCCCAAGGAGGCCAGAGGGCAACTCTAGAACTAGGTAGAAGTTATAAACCACCTGTTGTGAGTGCTGAGACCCAAGCTAATGTCCTGCAAGAGCAATAAACGTTAACTCCAGCCAGCTCTTCAGTTCTTTCCTTTATGAGACTGTCTTGCTGTATAGCCCAGGCAGTGTTCCTGCCCCAGCCTCCCAAATGCTGCGTTATGGTCATGAACTATCTGACCAGGCTATAAAGACTGCTTTAAATAGTACAGGTACCATCAGGCTAGGTGTGTTGGCTGCAGGGGGTGAGAGCAGGAGATAATCTTGTCTCAAAATGGTACATCTAGAACCCTACTTGAGACCTAGTGGGTGGTGTGTACCTGTAAGAATTGCTGCTTAAACCTGGGGTTCAAGTTCATCCTAGCCAATGGCAGGACCCTACCTCAAAACCCTTCCTTTAACCCTCTCTGCTATAGGCTCCTGGTAGCACTTGAGCTGGTTAGGTTTTTGGGAGTTGGTGACTGTTTGTCACTTGAGCTGGTGGAGGCCCTAGGGAGTAAGGAAGGATGTAATTGCTAATTAGCTGTGGACTGATTTCTTGATGTACAGAAGGTTTCCTCTGGAGGAGGAAGGGAGAAGGCTGAGGATGTGCAGATTCTGTCATTAGACACACACACACACACACACACACACACATAGGGACATGATTTAATCAGTGCCACCGAAAGCCTCATGCCCGTCCTCTACCCAATGAGAGACTATGCCTGCTTCAAACAGTGTCTTCTATTTTTGTTGTTACTGCTTGAGACCAGATCTTGTTGTCAGAGCTGGTATTGACCTCTTGATTCTCTTGGCTTCTTTTCCCCTTTACCTTGAGGCTTGATGGAAAAGTCATAGACGTGTGCACATATGGGAAAGAAGTATGGTGATAGCTGGGTACCTGCTGGCTAGGGAGTGAAGAAGCAAAAGGAGTGGGTGATGGCCTCTTTCCAGAATTCAAACCAACCTCATGAGCTTTTTCCAGGGCCTCAGGAAACTCCCTCCCACCTCTCACCACTTAGCATATAGGTTAGGCAGAGCGTGTGTTCATTGTCTTTGTGGTGCTTTGTGTGCGTGTAGCTAGCTCACCGCCTCAGTCAACCTTGAAGTCAATAGACTGGTAGTAGTTGTGCTTGGTCCTGATGGTGGCAGGGGTGGCATTGTCATCTTGGAAAACACATCACCACATTACAGCAGATTGTAATTTCTGAAATAAATACAGAAAAAAAATGGTATCGAGTAGCAGCCTTTTAAGTCATTTCTATTTTATGTGGATGTACACACTTGTGTGCATGAAGTCAGGAAAGCTTTTAGGAGTCAATTTTCTCTGAGCCCTATGGGTGGAACGCCGGTCAGCTGCTTTACAGCAAGTGCCTTTACCTGATGCTGTTCCCCAAGACCGTTATTGTTGTACTTGGACAGGAAAAGTACAGAATGGTGTTTGCCTACATGTTTAGAAACTTTCCTGTGAAAAGCTGAGTATGATGGTGTTGACTTGTGATCCCAACACCTAGGGCAGCAGAATCCAGAATTCAAGGCCAGGTCTCCATTCCTCAGCAGTGGCTTGGGATCAGGACCCAAGCCTGATTGAACTAAGCCACGTGTGATCAAACCACCAGGTGTGGGGAGGATCAGGCACTTGACTGCTCATTTATAAGCAGGTGTGAATTCAAGTACACATGTGCACATGCTTGTTGTAGAATAGAATATTTGACTATGTAAAAGTGTGTTGCTGTTACACCTTGCCTTCCTAAAGCACCTGATTGGTCTGATAAAAAGCTGAACAGCTAATAGCTGGGCAGAGAGCAAAGGGGAGCCAGACAGACAGGCGTGGAGGAAAGAAGCAGGATAAGGTAAATGTGCCTTGAGGCAACACACAGATGAATAGAAATGGGTTAAAGCTAGCTAGGAACAAGCCTAAACTAAGGCCAAGCATTCAAAATTAATAACGTCTTCATGTCAGGCGGTCCATAAGAGCCTATTACACATGCTTGTGAAGGACAGGGGTCCATGTGGGGTGTCTTCCTCCACCCTGCTGAGAAAGGGTCTCCCACTAGACCAGGTCTCCCCTCTGGTCTGGCCATCTTAAGGTTGTCTCAGCCTTTTTCAGCTAGAAGGCACTGTCTGCTTTGCACTGGAAGAAACATGAAGCTGGTTTGTTTCCTGAGGGTTAGAGGGTTTTCTTCCATGACAGAGGTGGTGGAATGGTAGTGGGGTGATTCCAAGGATACATGGGGCATATTGTGGGGGTCGGGGTGTGGCCAGGCCTCCTGGGGATCAGGTGTCCTTCCCCCTTGTTATTTATTTTTATGTGCATTGGTGTTTTGCCTGCGTGTATATCTGTGTAAGGGTGTTGGAACCCCTAGAGCTAGAATTACAGACAGTTGTGAGCTGCCATGTGGGTGCTGGAAATTGAACCCCAGTCTTCTCAAAGAGCAGCCAGTGCTCTTAACCGCTGAACCATCTCTCCAGCCCTCAGGTTCCCCCTTGTCTTGCCTTTGCCTTCTCTCTGTCTTTCCTCTGCAGTGCCTTTGGTCCTGCCATGGACCTTTTCCTGCAGATTTTTATTTTGTCTCAGCAAGGGAAGACTTCTGGTTAGAAGGGTGTGCTACTCACAAAAGCAGCAGCAGAAGAGAAAGCACCCTGTTTTGTTTTTAAAAAAGACATAATCTAATGTAGCCTAGGCTGGTCCCAAGTTCACTGGGTAGGTGACAGACCTTGAACCCTTGTTCCTCCTGTTTCCACCTTCTAAGAGCTGGCAAGTACAAGCATGTGCCATTTTGTGCGTCTTGTTGGAGCTCTTAAAACTATTAACGGTGGTGGCGGGAGGCAGAGGCAGGCGGAGCTCTGTGAGTTTGAGGACAGCCTGGTCTACAGAGTGAGTTTCAAGACAGTCAAGGATACATAGAGAAACCCTGTCTCAAACAACCAAAAGATAGGAGTGGGGGGACTATTATTAACTGTCTCTCAGCAGAAGGCTCCCTCAGAGAGCTAGCTGCTGTCCAGTCCTTCCCTGGCTCTGCGCTGTCATGGTACCACCTGGTGGCTGGTGGCTGTATGCCAGGACAAAACCTGACTGACTTTTTTCATCAGCCAGCACCTGACAGGGTTCTGCTTTCCATCCATTCTTGATACCCTTACTGTTTACAGGTGGAGAGCTTGAGGCATGGGAGCAACCTTAAGACTCAGACCCCAGGACTAGGACTGGAAGCCTGCTCCTTGTCCTTGTGCTGTGCCGTGCCAGGCAACTGACAGGAAAGCACTGTAAGAATGCGGGGCAGCAGGAGTCTAGGGTAAGGATGCCATCAGGACTTCCATCTCCATAGAACTGACCCCGGCCTCTGCTGTGTTCTTGAGGAGGTTACATCCCATACCCTCTTTTATCCTGTTTTCCATTCTGGAAGGTTCCAGGACCTGCTGAGTGTTGCTCTGGCTGGTGCTGTGATGTAATGTGGCCGTTACCAGCTCTTGTTCAGACTAGCCATGAGCACCTCCATAGTGTCCAGAACTAGACAGATATCCATGGTTAGTCTGTCACAGGTAGCTGCTTATTGCTGCTAGGGTCTCTTGGTGGACAGTGCCTGCTGTGCTCTCACATAAGGCCTCACTCCTGCACATTCCCTCTCCCCCAGATTTCCCAGCCGTGCCTCCTGATGATAAGCTCCGCTCTGCACATGGCTTCTCCCCAGCTCCCTCTGGCTTCTTTCTGACCACTATGGGCAAGGGGTCAAAGGAAATGGGGTGACACCATTGTGACCCAGCATTATGACTTGTTGCCTCTTCTGCCTCCTTGCGCTATTACTAAAAATAAAGAAAAATTGTTTTTGCTCTTTGGGGGTCCTGCCACCCGGCTCTTCTTTAAATACACAGAGACTTGTTCTTGCTTATGATTGCCCAGCCTTAGCTTGGCTTATTTCTAGCCAGCTTTTTAAAAATTATCCCAGCTACCTTTTGCCTCTGGGCTTTCTCTTTCTCTATTCCATATCCCTCTTTCCTTTTTATTCTGTGGGTGGTGACTGGGTGGTTCCTGCAGTTCTCTCCTCCCTGTCTCGTTCCTCCTGGCTCACACTTTTCTGTTCTCTGGATCTCTCCTAGTTATTCTCTGTACCTGGCAGCCTGGTTTAATCCCTCTTTCCTGCTTACCTATTGGCTGTTCAACTCTTTATTAGACCAATCAGTGCTTTAGACAGGCAAAGTTAACACAGCCTCACAAAGATAACAAATGCAACAAAAGAAGGCAACACATCTTTACATTGTTTAAAAAATTCCACAGCATAAATGAATGTAGTGCATCTTAAATACAACACTCTGCTGAGGGACCTGTGTGTACAAGTGGGTCACCCAGAGGTCATCTCCATCTTGAGCTCATCTGTGTCTGTCAAGCCCTTTAGCCACATAAGACACACCCTACCTTGTTTTGTTTTGTTTTGTTTTTTCCCAATCACACTAGCCTCTTCCAAAACGTACTAGTGATATCGGCTGCTTTGTTGAAAACAGCACTGTTGCCACAGTGAGTGCTCAGCTTTCGTGTGGATGGGTGTCCAGGTGGAGTATGAGTGACTTTGGCATGCCGGCTGTGACCCAGCACACAGATGGAAGCAAGAGGGACTGTCCCTAGCCATTAAGACTCAGTTCGCATCAGAAATCCTGGGAGGCAGGAGCACGGCAGCCAACCTGCTCAGAAAACTAACTAAAAGATGGGTGGGAGGAGTTTGTGGAACCGGGGAGAAGGCTGGTGATCGGGTTGGGGAGAATGCAGCAGCCTGAGTCTAGCCCAAGTGCCATGCTGTGGACCTGTTACCTTGTTACCCTGAATAGCTGTTTCCTTTCCCGGGCTCTAGGAGCCTGTCCTGTGTGAAGATGGAAGGGCTGCAGCTGAAGGGCTTCCAAGGCTTAGGGGTCATCATGGACTCAAGTCAGGCCTCCCTGTGCTTGTCTCTGTCACCAGAGCAGTTAAAGTTCCTGACCTGGCTTATCACCCCACCTTCCTCCCAGCCCATTTTTTCCAACTTTTCCAGTTTAGCCCCATACTTACCAGGCCCCTGTAGCTCCTTTAACAAAGAGTCTGAGTCACTAGGATGTGGAGGTGGGTGGACTGCTGAGCTGGTGTACATAGTGAGGCTATATAGTGAAAGCTTGTCTTTTTTTAAAAAAATAAAATAAAAGTCTGAGTCATTAGTATGGTGCTTTGTGGCTGTGCCAGTACTGATGCCCAAAACCAGGACTATTATTATTGTCTTCCCAGTGTTTGGCAGGACTTGGTGGTCCTCTCCTTGCAGGCCCTGGACCTCACACACGGTGCTGCACACTGATAGCTGTCCTAACAGAGACAGTATGAGTAGCCAAACCATTAGCATCACAGGAAGATTCTGTCATGGGCTAGGAGGGGAACCACATTCCAGGTGCAACTGAGTGCCCGTCTGAAGCCAGGGAAGGTCATCTGAGTCCTGAGGGTCACCCCTGTGGTCTTTGACACCACCATAAGTCACATTAGCATAGACTACCTGGCAGGTACCTGTTCCGCGAACTTGGGTTCCTTCCCAGAAGCTGGACACGAGCCTCATGTTCAGTCTCTGCCTTCCTCCAGGTCCATCTTCCCCAGTCCTGAGTGGCCTCGTGGCTTCCCTTCCTATAGCTGCACTGCCACATGTCCTGGCACTGTGGTCTGAGCTGGTGACTTTAAACAGTGTCACAACACCTTGGCACCATGGGAGCTTGACATAATTTCTTAGTAACTACAGTGAACTTTCTATAAATGGAAATTTCTGCTGTGGTTTACTAGTAGCAAAAGCGTACACTGAGTTCTTAAGAATTGAGGTATGAAGCGTAACTGATTGGGTGTTGGGCAGCTAAAACTCACCAACAAGGAAGTCTCTGTCATACCAGAGTTGTCTGGATGCTAGCAGAGGCCCCCCATGGACCTGCTGTGACCTTTTGAGAGTAAAATAACCTTCCTTCCCCAGAAGTTCCTGTAAGCTCGAGGGGCAGGGCCCAGAGATCAGAGCAGACCTTGGCTATCCTCAGTAAAGGAAAATGGAACCCGACCTTATTTCCTCCTGAGTCCCATTACCCTTCTGTGCACTGTCCACAGGCCAGCTGTGGAGCCAGGGAAGGAGAACAAACACCACATGGTGCTGTCCCCGCAGTGGGCAGGGGCTGCTGCCCAGTAGCCTCAAGACTGCTGCATTCTCGTCACAACCTGATGACTCACGAGCAGGGCCACAGATGAAATTCATAGTAGAGCAGAGGTTAGCCACACCAGCTTTTCCAGGTCTCCTTCCTACTCTGAAAATGTCAGAGGGATAGTGAGCACCCCAAATCATGTCAGCTGCTCAGCACACTAGGTGCCACCTGCCCTGCCCCCCCCCCAACTTTGCTGAGGGAGGACTGAGCTCAGAGAGGCTTAATGTTTTTGTTAATGTGGCGAGAAGGACTGGGTCACTCAGATCTGCTACACTTGGCATCGGGTTTGCTTTCCTTCAGTTGCTTTCACAACAACAGGTGTGACAGTGTGTGCCTGTAATCCCTACATTTGAAAGATTGGGGCAAAAAAGGATTGTAATATTGAAGCTAGCCTGAGCTTCATAATGAGACCCTGTCCCAGAGAACAGAATGTCAGTTGCTGGGGGGTGGCTTGATCAATAGAGTGATTATTTGACAGAGTCAATCCCCGGCACCCAAATGAAAAAGTTAGACATTATCTCAGTGCAGGAGAGGTGTAAATGGGTGGTCCCTGGAGCTCCCTGGCCCACCAGCCCACCTAGCTTAACTGGAGAATTGCAGGCCCCAGTGAATATCTCTCCAAAAGAAAGGAAAATAACATCTGAAAAAGATGCATCACACACACAATTTGGAAGCCCACCAGTGGTGCTTCTCCACTATGGAATGAGCCTTTGGGCAGTGCTGCCCACAGAAGGTACCCATCACCTCAGAAGACCACAGCCAGGGCCACTCAGCTCTAAAGGGGACATTCTGCCGCACTTCCATTCTACAAGGGATGTGTGTCTGTGGTGTTGTATGGGTTGCTCAATTTTACATCTCTGTCTGCCCCACACAGGATAGGGGAAATGCCTGTGACTCCGTCAGGTCCACTATACTGGCTCCCGTCTCAACACCTGCTAGTTTGTGACCTGGGAATATGATGGCAGCTTTCCAGCTGTCTCCATAGTGCTGATGGGAAAAAATCTTGCCTCCTAGTTGGTGCCTGCATTACTCCCTGTCACCTTCCTCACTGCCTGGAGCTGCTTCAGTTAGAATCCAGTGCTCTAAGTGGGGTGGGTGAACTATGGCTGCTCTTGGCTTACTGAATGTTCTCTCCCTCTTCCCTTTGTCCCTTCCACTCATTGGTGGCAGCTGCTCGGTTCTACCTATAGGAGAACCCCGGATGAAATTGGTTGACTGACTTGGGTGGGCTTTCATGCCCACCCTGAGTTTGGAGGACCCAGGCCTACTCTGCCTGTAGAATCAAAGGCGAATGCTGGCAGCCTGGAAGAGCTGGTCCTGCAGGTCCTTGTGTCCTGGTTCCATTCGCTAGAGTGCTTTCTTGCGAACTGCCTCAGACCTCCTCTCTGGTACTGGGAGCTGCATATGTCCAAGATTACTCACCTCCATTTGGTTTACTGGAGCTGGTTAGGTTAGCAAAGGATGAGGCAGGGCTGCTGCCAGCTCTGCATCCAACCCGCTACCCTCCACACCACTGAGCTTGCCTGTCCCAAACTGCCATCTGACCATGTCACTTCCTCTGCTCTAGAAACCTCCCCAAGGTTGCAGACGCTGACGGATTTGCCCCAGAGTCGGAGTAGCTGCCACCTGGAGATTCCACAGCCATGAGTGGGTTTAACTTTGGAGGCACCGGGGCCCCTGCTGGCGGCTTTACATTTGGCACTGCGAAGACTGCAACCACTACACCCGCCACTGGCTTTTCCTTCTCTTCTTCCGGCACTGGAGGGTTTAATTTTGGAACTCCCTCCCAGACAACTGCAGCCACCCCTTCCACTGGCCTCTTCTCACTCACCACACAGACCCCAACCACACAGACACCAGGATTCAACTTCGGGACAACACCTGCTTCTGGAGGAACTGGCTTCTCCCTGGGAATCAGCACCCCAAAGCTCAACCTGAGTAACACAGCTGCCACATCAGCCACAGCCAACACTGGCAGTTTTGGACTTGGTAGTAGCACCCTTACCAATGCCATCTCAAGTGCTGGCACCTCTAGCCAGGGAACAGCCCCCACTGGCTTTGTGTTTGGGTCCTCTAACACCTCTGCTCCATCTGCTGGCTCCACAGGCTTCTCATTCACCAGTGGCAGTGCTTCCCAGCCTGGAGCCTCTGGCTTTGGCATTGGCTCTGTGGGTAGCTCAACCCAGCCCACAGCACTGTCTGGCTCTCCCTTCACTCCAGCCACGCTGGTGACCACTACAGCAGGAACAGCACAGCCAGCTGCTGCTGCACCTACTGCTGCCACCACCAGTGCAGGGTCCACACTCTTTGCTTCCATAGCGCCTGCTCCTGCCTCATCCAGTGCTACAGGGCTCTCCCTCTCAGCTCCAGTGACAACTTCAGCCACTCCTAGTGCTGGGACTCTGGGCTTCAGCCTCAAGGCCCCTGGGGCAGCTCCTGGCCCCTCCACCACCATCTCCAGCACCACCACCTCTACCACGACCACCTCCACCACAACCTCTGGCTTTGCCTTGAGCCTGAAATCCCTAGTGTCAGCTGGTCCCAGCAGTGTGGCCACTACTGGGACTGCTCTGCCTGGCTCCAGCAGTGCAGCTGGGACTACCACAGGTCCCGCGATGACCTATGCGCAGCTGGAAAGCCTGATCAACAAGTGGAGCCTGGAGCTGGAGGATCAGGAGCGGCACTTCCTGCAACAGGCCACACAGGTCAATGCCTGGGATCGCACACTGATTGAGAATGGGGAGAAGATTACCAGTCTACATCGGGAGGTGGAAAAGGTGAAGCTGGATCAGAAGCGGCTGGATCAGGAGCTAGACTTCATCCTGTCACAGCAGAAGGAATTGGAGGACCTGCTGAGCCCATTGGAGGAGTCAGTGAAGGAGCAGAGTGGCACCATCTACCTTCAGCATGCAGATGAGGAGCGTGAGAAGACCTTCAAGCTAGCTGAGAACATCGATGCGCAGCTCAAGCGCATGGCACAGGACCTCAAGGATATCATCGAGCACCTGAACATGGCTGGTGGCCCTGCAGACACCAGTGACCCACTGCAACAGATTTGCAAGATCCTCAATGCACACATGGACTCCCTACAGTGGGTGGACCAAAGCTCTGCCCTGCTGCAGAGGAGGGTGGAAGAGGCCAGCCGCGTATGTGAGGGCCGCCGCAAGGAGCAGGAGCGCAGTCTGCGCATTGCCTTCGACTAGCCCTGCATGAATGGGAGGGGCTCCTTGGGTGACAGGGCTGCTGGCTTTCTTTTGGGTGGTTGTGCTATTTTGAGAGGAATGTTGGCTTGACTTCCACTTAGCAGAAGTTGTACAAGGCATGGCACTCGATGTAACCTATGCTCTGGGGCCCAGCATGAATATCACTGAGCTCTAGGTCAGCATTTAAAGAACAAAGACAAGGGTTCATTTCAGTGCTGCTTCACAGCAGCTTCAGTTCTGATCCATCCAACTTGACCTTCAGTCACTCTGTGACTGTGGGACAGAGCGCTCCGCTCGAAGGAGATACTGGCCAAGGAACTTACCTTGGATGGAGACATGGTGGGTTTGAAAGCCCAAGGTTTCTGCACCTCTCCAGCTCCCATCTAGCCCATGTCCTCCAGAGCCTCTGCCATACAAAGCAGAGTCACCGAGGCGCAGTGAGCTAACAACTGCTTTGACTACCTCCTTCAATCCTAGATGGTGAGCTCCTGTGGCAGAAGATTTGCTTCTGGATATCCCAGTGTCAAAACTATCTTAGTCACAGTCAGATGCAGTGTTGAAAGCCAGCAGTCATGTCCTGATCTGTTTTATTTCCTTGTACCCTGCTGTAGCCTCTGTGATCCCTGATCAAATGTTGCTTTTCTAAATAAAGAAAAATTTGTGAAACCAGACCTGCTGTGGACATAAGTGGTGAATAAAGGTCCCAAGACTCGGCAGGGCAATGCTGGTGGGATATCGAGTCGTGTGCCATTGGATTGGAGCCACTGATTGAGCCACATGGGCCCAGTCTTTACGTTCCTTGGGGTAGGTGGGGTGCAGGTGCAGGAAAGAGTCCTTTCCGCCCATGTACGAGTGGACAATCATCCACTGTGTGCAGGTGTCATTGTGATGTCATCAGTAGTGGGGATCAGGGAACACTGGGAGGTGATAACCAGATACTGGGCTCATGCCTTGCATTTGACTGCTGCTCTTACAGGACTGGGGACCCTGGACCAGCAATTTGAAGATTCCAGAATGGAACCACAAGTTATTTCCTTTGTTTATGTTGGGCTTCAAAGCACAAAAGGGGGGGAGCGCTAGAGGAGGGATCTCAGCTGCTAAGAGCACTGCTCTTTCAAGGACCCTGGTGTGATCTCTAGGACCACATGGTGGCTCACAGCCATCTGCAACTCTAGTCCCAGGTTATCAGGTGCCCTTTTCTGGGCTTTTGGCTACTGTATGCAGAACAAACAGTCATGTAATAAAATCTCAAAGATGAGAATAAGAAACCCTGGCATCCTGAACACTGGAGTTCCAAGTCACCTTTAGCCACATAGTCACAGGAGACCTTGTCTTGGAAAAGCAGGGCTAGTGAACTGGAAGACATCCTGAGCGCCCAGTGGCCTTTCTGTAACATCTTAGTTTTTGCTGTTTTAAGGCAGGGTTCCCTCCTTGAATTGGTGTGACTTTCCTGCCTTCGCCTCCTGAGTGCTCGGATTATGGATAAGCCTCCGCAGCCCAGCTCTGCACTCGTGGCTTGACTCCAACCAACCATGGTGTTTAGGCCTGTTTCTCAAGATGTTTTACACATGTGTCATTGTCAGGGCTCAAACAATAAAGATGGCCAGCGTGTACTTCTAATGTGTATGTGCTCATTCCAGATTGTATTTTGGGCATAAATGAAGATGAGTTATCTTGCCCTTTGTGGGAGGAGCTGCACTCACTCTGCACTCCATCCTTGTACACTTGTACAGCCTTGTGTTTTAAAAGGTAGTTGAAATCATACCCTGAAGGTCTACCCACTTTAAAGACAACAGCACAGATCTTTGTGCTGGGGGAGTTGGGGAGGGGAACCCAGGATGACAACGCTACTGGCAACTTGGGCGCTGTTGCACAGGCTGCACTATAATTGCAGTTTCCCTCTCCAGGAAGAACACTGCCTCGCTGGCCGCTCTCATCATCACCATGAAGACGGCAAAGGTGACTGCATGGGGAGCCTCTTCCATATCTCCCTGGGTAACCAGGACCAGCTGTGATCCAGCCTGGTGGGACTAGCCTATCTCAGGAAGGGAAACGACAGTGTGAAATGGCAATAAGTAGGAAGTTGTATCCATATCACATTAAGGGATGAAAAAGACAAGAGGGAGACCAAGTTTGAACTTTCCACTTCCTGGTCTCTACAAAGAGCTCTGGTCTGTATTGAGCAGCACAGAGAGCATTGTCTGGGAAGGAGAAGTTTTTACAAAAGTCCCTAGTTTTCTAAGAATGACCCAGAACAGCACTTGAAACTGCACACACATGTTGCTTCCATCAGCCAGTGACTACTGGAAATCAAAGGCACGGCCCCAGCCACAGAAGAGTACAGATTGTAGCTAAGCTTGCACCAGCTGCCCAGGTGGGAAGTGTGGGGCTAGAAAGGTGGGTGCGTCATTATCTCAAGGGCCAGTTAAAGCTGAAGAGGTTGGGAGCATGGTTTTGACCTGATGACAAGGTGTGGCAAAAGCAGCTTCTAAAGGAGACACTTAGAGGGAAAAAGTCCCACAGAAGGAGAGTTTGAGATAGTTATTAAAATTTAATTATAAATCTTAGATTTTGTTTTGAAATGAGCTATCCAGCCCAGGCTGGCCTCCAGTTCCCAAGGGAGCTGTGGATCACCTTGAACCTGGGCTCCCTGTCCTCACAGTAGTGCACCACATCAGGTTTCTGTAGTGCTGGGAAGGCAGCCCAGGCTCTGTGCGTGCTAGGCAACTAGCAGCTGTGTCCCCAGCCCGGAACAGGTCATCCATGTAGCCCTAACTGCGGGAACTCCGAGATCTGCTTGCCTTTCCCTGGGAACCCTGAGAAGATCCTATCTTGAAGGATAGGAGTTGGCTGCCTGTATGTGACCTTACCTTCTGTTAGTTAATAAAGCTTTTTTGGAGCACAGCTGTACCCTCACACTTTGTAAATTTATAGCTAGGCTGTAAATCTTCAAATTTTCACGGGAAGTTTGATCGTTTCTGTCATAGAGAAACATTCTGCAAAAACAGTATGCCTGGGATATGATTCAAAATAGTCCCGTGTCAAAGAAGAGGGTGATCAAGGGGCATGGTGGCATTCCTGTTAGCCCAAAGTTTAAGATGTAAGGCAGAAGGATGGCCTCAAGTTGGAGGGCATCCTAGGGTACAAATGAAGACACCCACCCACCCTGTCAAAAAACAGAAACACATTCTCTAGCGAATTCTGCCACCATATACCAACTGATCTTCCTCTCAGGACTTGGCTTCTCTGACCTAACAAGGCAGTAGGACAAAGCTATCACCATTTGCCCTGGTTCTGCCTGCGCCAGAGGATGACTTCCATTCCAGGTTGACCAGAAAGGCCATGGGCGCAAGAAGAGCCCACCAAAGACCAGCATGCAGTGAGTGTCCCCTGTCTGGGTTGGGGAGTTAAGGTGGAGGCCACAGCTACTTTGTCCTTGCCCAGTCTTGGGTCTCCCTACGCCCTCCTCAGGGACACTAGACTGAAAAACAGGCTATGCACTTCATGGGGGCCGAGGGCCTCTCCCACCAGCTCCGTCCCCAGGTCAGCCTGCTGGAATGTGACCTAAACCCTCCAGCACCATTCCTGTGGGTCAGAAGCAAGCCATGGTAGGCAGGGTGTCCCCAAAGACCATTTCTTCCTGGAAGGCTAGTCCTGAAGCTGGGTTTCCCAAAGCCAGTAGCAGCTGACAGGTATATCTGATGACCATGTGCCATGACCAGATGCACACACTAGTATCTGGGTTTGTGCCCTTGCTGCAGAACACTGAGCCTCACTTGCACCTCTTGTTCCCTCATTCCATCCCCACATGTCCTGCCTTCTTCCTAAGACCCCAGCATAACCAAGGAAAGACAGTCTGCCCCAATGGTGGCCTAACCATGATTCCTAATTTAGGCCCAATAATACTGCTTGGAACTAACACTAGGATACTAGGATTTGGAGTGTGTGTGTGTGTATATATATATATATATATTAGATAGGCTCTCACTGTGACCCAAGCTGGGCTTGAACCCCTGATGATGGGGTGGACTAGGATGGGAAACACACATGCGTGCTCACACACACCCTGCCACTGGACTTGGCAACCCTACCTGAACCTATTCTATTGGTTCCCTTTGCTCCCCAGAGCTCCCTAGGGTAAGGGGAGTAGCCCCAGTCTACTCCAACCAGGGATCCAAAAGCTGTTCCCGTGGGACTGGAGAGGTAACCCTGGGGTTAAGAACACTGGCTACTCTTCCAGAGAACCAGGGTTCAATTCCCAGGACCTCCATAGGGGCTCACAACCATCCATAACTTCAGTTCCATCAGATTCAACACCCTCCTCTTTGGGCACCAGACACACACATAGTACTCAGACATACATGAAGGTAAAACAACCACATATATGGAAAACTTCAATGCCAGGGAGAGCAGTGGCCACAGTGGCACTGTCAGTCTAGCATTTGCTTCACTGAGGCAGAAGGATCATAGGGAGTTTGAGGCCAGCTTGGATGCAGAATGATGAGACCCTGTCTAAATAAATCAATAAATGCCAGGACACAAGGTGGCTGTTCCCGCCCCCAGCTCTATCAATTCCTCTGTAGGGTTGAGACCAAGTACTGCCCTAAGCCATGGAGTCCTGCTTGACCTGGGGCCTCCAGCCTGCATGGCTTTGCAGTTCTGCCCATTTGGCCCAAGCCACAGAGCACACACCTACCCCAACCACCTCCCTTTAGTGGACTCTGGAGATTCCCATTCTGTCCCTATGCTGACTTCTCTCCCGACCCAAGGAGAATTTCCCTGCACCTGACTGCCTCACTTCACCAGCTTTGGGTGGCACTGGTGTCGTCGTCCTCACTGCTCATGGCCTCCTGAAGGCCAGAAACAGATCTCTCTAGAGTCATCCACAGTCTGCTTCCCAGCCATTCTTAAGACAAAGATAGCAGGAAAGGACAGGGCCACTCCGTCATCACCACCCAGTCCTCCCCATGTTCTTGCAGATGCAGCAATAGGTTCTGCCCTTGACCAGGTGATATGTGAAGGCCCTGGCCCGGCTTTACACCTGCCATATTGTGCTTTACTATGTGACACTATCAGGCCGAAACGGGCACCAGAATGTGGAAGGCCCTGACCCAAGATCCCAGGTCCCAGACTTGGATGTGCCCATTTCATAGAATTGGAGATAGGCCTGGAAAAATGGAGTGAGGAGGCCTGGCCTGGGATGGGCAGGCCCAAGACAAAAGTCCAGGAGGCTTAGAGCACAGGGACCGGCACCAGTGATGCCATCTGGATGGGCAGTCCCCACCCACAACTTCTGCAGAGCTGTTTGTGGTACGAAAAATAGACTGAGTTACTTCCTCCTGTGGCCCTCTTTCCCACCACCACACCACCTCCCCCAGCATGTGGCCCCACACCAGGAAAGCACTTTGAATTCCCCAGGGAGGTGAGTGGGCCGGGCTGGCTGCTTTAAGGGGAGAACTCAGAGGCTCTGTTCTGCTGTCCTCTCCAAGAGAGCTGGAGTACAGCTACCTGGGTGGGAGGTGGCAGGGAATGCACCCCAGAACCTAGGACTGGGAGGCAGGAGAAGGGAGCTAGTCCAGGGCTTGGGAAAAGGGTCCCAGGAACTCTGACGGATTAAGATTAGGTCTGGGGAAATACATGCCCAGAGAGGAAGGAAAGAGACAGGCTGGGGGTCCCTAACCCCCATCACAGTTACCCCACTTCTCCACTGACAGCAGCTGCCACTTGAGCCATGGCTTGGCTGGGTAAGTGAGCAACCGAGGGAAGAAAGGGGGTGCTGGGACTGTGGCTGACTCCTGCTTCTGCTGCCTGTGCCCTGACCCTCTTCTGTTGCCAGCCCCACACCATACCCTTGTGGCCATCCTCCTGGGTCTGGCAGCCTCTCTGAACTGGAAGGCAGCCTCCAGCCTGAATCCCTTCGAGAAGTGCATGGAGGACCCTGACTATGAGCAGCTGCTCAAGGTGGTGACCTGGGGCCTCAATCGGACCTTGAAGCCCCAAAAGGTGGTAGTTGTTGGTGCAGGTATAGCCGGACTGACAGCCGCCAAGATGCTCAGCGATGCAGGACACAAGGTGAGAAGTGCAGCCTACTGTCCACCTGGGGCCTTTCCTGCTGCAGGTGGGATGTCCTCACTGCACCCCACTCGCCTATCCTGGAGGGAAGGCCTGATTCTTTTTTTGTTTGTTTGTTTGGTTTTGGTTTTTGTTTTTGTTTTTTCGAGACAGGGCTTCTCTGTAGCTTTGGAGCCTGTCCTGGCACTAGATCTTGTAGATCAGCCTGGCCTCGAACTCACAGAGGTCCGCCTGCCTCTGCCTCCCAGTGCTGGGATTAAAGGCAGGCCTAATCCTCTTAATGTAATTGTCATAGTCAAAATAGGGATCTGTGTTGTGGGAAGCGCTAAGAAATTCCCAAGGGCAAGTGTCCCCTTCACCAAAACCCAGAAATGAGAATGGGCCAGCCCCCCAGTCTTGCGTTCAAACCAGGAATCTCCCTACTTCCATCTTGGCTGGAAAGTCCCTCCGCAGTCCATCTGGTGACTTTCTGGCTACAGTCTTGAAACCTTCCTCTCTGTTGTAGCAGCCCCTCACCTCCACCCTGAAGGAAGGCTCTTCCAGTCTAGGTGTGCCTCACTGTGGGGAGCAAGACAGGCAGGGGCTGCTGTGAGTGCAGCGAGGGGAGCTGAGGTTCCTGCTTGCCCAACCTCGTCTTTAGGTCACCATCCTGGAGGCAGATAATAGGATTGGGGGCCGCATCCTCACCTTCCGGGATGGGAAGACCGGCTGGATAGGGGAGCTGGGGGCCATGCGAATGCCCAGCTCCCACAGGTGAGATCCCAGCCAGGTAACAGAGCTCCACCTCTGCACCGAAGCTTACCAAAACCCACCTCCATAGTCAGCCAACTCCCATCCCTGATTCAGGCTCAGTGAGAATCCAGCTCCATCCCTAGTCCATGCTCTTTGTTCTGAAGGTGCTGTCTGTCAACCTTGGGCCTCCAGCTGCACCTCCAGCTCTGTTCCAGTGTTACCCATGTTCCCTCCCACTTCTTCACAGCCCTCACCATCATCCTGGCTAACACAGCTTGGCTCAGCATCCTCCTGGTGCGATCACTCACTTTCCCATGTGCAGTCTGCCGGAGCTCTGCCCCTTTTCCCACCCCCAGCTCCTGAGGCAGTCACCTGCTCCATGCCTGTCTGTACTGGTCCCTCCTGTGGTACCAGGCCAGGCCTTCTTCACGCAGCCTTCCATTTTCAGGATCCTGCACACACTCTGTAGGAGCCTGGGCCTCAACCTGACTCAGTTCACACAGTATGATGAGAACACATGGACCGAGGTAAATGACGTGAGGCTGCGGAACTACGTGGTGGAGAAGATGCCAGAAAAGTTGGGCTACAACCTGAGCCACAGGGAGAGAGGCCGTTCCCCAGAGGACATCTACCAGATGGCACTCAACAAGGTGGCCACCAGCTTCCTGCTGAGCCCAGCCCTGCCCTCAGGCTCTGTCTCTACTAACACCCTGTTAAGGTCTACGCCACAGCTCTGCTGGGGGTCAGCCCATGCTTCCTGCATCTCACCAGCACATCCTCTACTGTAGCCCCAGCACTCCAGGACCCTCCGGCAGCTTTGCCTTAGACAGTCTCTCGGGTATCACCCTCTTGTCCACACAGAAGCCAGCCTGCCCATGGCTTGACATGGCTCCCCAGTGCCTCTTAAACCCTGAGTCAGACTACCAGATAGCTTCCCCTCCCCCACACCCACCTAGTGATCCAGGTGTACCCTCTGCTTCTGGAACCCCACCTGGCTCATCCATTATCCCTAAGTCTGCATCCTCAATGTGTCTGCTTGAGCATCCTTCTCCTTCTCCCCCCCTCCCCCCGAACAAGGAGCGCAGAGAGGCTGGAGGCATGTTTGTAAGGAGCCTGAAGGAAGATAACGAAGTGCCAGGCAGGAGAGTCTACATGTAGTGGGAGAGGTGGCACAGCTCCAAAGTGTCCTGTCCTCCACTCGCTCGTTAAAATCAGTACTACCTGTCGTAAGAAAGGGTGATGGAGGCTGCTGGGCTTTGGGGGCCAGGCTGCTGCTGTTGCTGGGAGTGCTCTAGCACTCCTTTGGGTCTGGGGAGCCAAGGAGAGTTGTTTCCAAGGGGAAACTGCTAAAGACTTAGCTAGTAGCAGCACCCTATTGGGCTATGGGAGACCCTCACCTGCCTACGCCCACAATGGTCTAGACACAATTACTGAACTTCCTGGCCGGTACAAAAGCAAACGGCAGTGCTGACTGGGTGGGCAGATGAGGGCGATCCTGTATTTGGGAGAACTTCCAGCTACAGAGGAGGCTTATGAAGAATGATCCAAAGTCTGGGACTTGAACGGGGGTGAGTGGCTGTTCCCACTGTAGCCAGGGCCCCTCTGATTGTCCCCCACAGGCCCTCAAGGACCTCAAGGCCTTGGGCTGCAAGAAAGCCATGAAGAAGTTCAATAGGCACACGCTCCTGGTAAGTGAGGCGAGACTGTTTGCCTGTCCTGTCACAAGAGCTGGCTAAGATCCAGGGCTTAACAGGGAAGGGTCTGACCAGGGCTCCTGCCAACTGCACAGGAATACCTCCTTGGGGAGGGCAACCTGACCTGGCCAGCGGTGCAGCTCCTGGGAGACGTGATGTCCAAGGAGGGCTTCTTCTACCTCAGCTTTGCAGAGGCATTACGTGCCCACAGCTGCCTGAGCGACCGACTTCGGTGAGGGCACAGTGGATGGAACAAGTCACAGGGAGGAGCATCCTGGGAGAGGCAGGGCCTGAGAGGGTAGGGCCTTCCTTAAGAGCTATGCTTCAACCTGGGTCAATGTGCTTGCCCCGCCCTGCAGGTACAGCCGCATCGTGGGTGGCTGGGACCTGCTTCCTCGAGCGCTGCTGAGCTCATTGTCCGGGCCGGTGCTGCTGAATGCGCCTGTGGTGGCAATCACTCAGAGAGCGCACGATGTGCTCCTGCACATCGCCACTTCGGTACAGTCTCATAGCCTGAAGGTGCTGATGGCCGACCTGGTTCTGCTGACGGCTAGTGGGCCTGCGCTGCAGCGCATCACTTTCTCGCCGCCACTGACACGCAGGAGGCAGGAGGCGTTGCGCGCGCTGCACTACGTGGCAGCCAGCAAGGTTTTCCTGAGTTTCCGCCGGCCCTTCTGGCACGAGGAGCACATCGAGGGCGGCCACTCCAACACTGACCGCCCATCGCGCCTCATATTCTATCCGGCGCCGGGCGAGGGCTCACTACTACTGGCCTCATACACGTGGTCGGATGCTGCAGCCCCTTTCGCCGGCCTGAGCACAGACCAGGCCATGCGTGTGGCGCTCAAGGACGTGGCGGCCCTGCATGGGCCAGTCGTGTACCGCCTGTGGGATGGCACGGGCGTAGTCAAACGCTGGGCAGAGGACCCGCACAGCCAGGGTGGCTTTGTGGTGCAGCCGCCATTGTTTGGGCAGGGGGATGAAGACTATGACTGGTCATTCCCTTATGGTCGCATTTACTTCGCGGGTGAGCACACAGCCCATCCACATGGCTGGGTAGAGACTGCTGTCAAGTCCGCATTGCGGGCGGCAGTGAAGATCAATAACCATGTGTTCAGGGTGCCCAGTCCCCAGAAGCAGGAGCATGCCAGTTTCCAGAAGCAGGAGCGCACACATGCAGAGGCCAGCGAGGATCAGGATCAAGAGGTCAGCACAGGTGAGCCGCGGCAGGAAGAAATCCTAGAGGGGCAGGAGACCCCCCACGAAGAGACCAGTCCGGAGGGACACGTGTTTGTGGAGGCCATCCCTGAGTTGCGGGGGCATGTATTCGTAGAGACCATTCCCCAGAAGGAGCATATGCATGCACACAAGAATATGCCTTCACACGGGCATGGGCATGTCATCCCTGAAGTGCATGGGGGACACAAGCACTTGGGATCTGGTACCCAGCGGCATCGGCATCTGCACGGAGGGGCAGGTCACACTCCGTGCAAAGAGGAAAGAGGCACCCAGCCCCCAACCCAGTCTTATCTAGAGCAGGCCACCTACAATAATAGCCCACAATAAAGTTATTATTATTTTTTTTTGTTAAACCCAGAGGCCCAGCTCCCTCCCTCCCTCCCCACTGCTCTGGTTTCTTGAATGTAGCTGCTCTGGGCGGGCAACACTTGGGTGAACACTGCACTGTGGAGATCATGAGCTACAGGAGGATAAGGTGCTGATGGAAGAACAGAAAACTGACAGCCTTGAGGCCAGTCTGGGCTAGGAGCGAGATCTGAAAAACAAGGCTTACTGGTCACCAGCACAGTCAAACAATGGTTTATTGCCTCACATTGGCCGCTGGTGGGCGGGTTCAGGGAATCCTCAACCTCCATTGGCCGGCTTAAGGTCTCCTGCTCCAGGTCTTCTTTCTACGTGGGCCTCAGGACTGGAAATCTGCCAGAACCATCAGGTGCAACAGGCTAGGAGTCAGTGCCATCGTCATCCTCAGGCAAGATCTCCAGGCTGCTGTCAGGCTGCGGGACATCCTCACGCGGCGGCAGGGGTGGCGGGGCCCGAGTGGGCGACAATGGCAATGGGGATATGGGAGGAGATGGGCTACTGGGCTCTTTCGGCTTCGCCAACCCCAGGACTTCCTGCACGTTGTGTGGCAGTTCCTGGGGGGAGGGAGGGAAGCATCCAAGAGGCTAGGTGATGGGTGGGGGTGGAGTCAAAAGGATGAGGAGGGGATGGGGAGGGCCTGGTGGGGAGAGCCATGGAGGTTTATTCCCTATGAAGAGGAAAGGACTCACTGGGCAGGCAGTCAGCTGCCTGTACAGGGCCTCTGCCCGCGTCAGCACATCCTCAACGCTCAGCTTCATGGTCAGTTCATTGATGTGCTGTAGGAAGGGCAGGGTAAGGTGCATGCCCGCCTTCCTTCTGGGGTTGGAGGGAAGCAGACTTGCCCCAGGGGTACAGGGCCCAGCTAGAAGAGGCCTTCAAGATTCCCTGGCCTGGCACCATGTAACACAGCATCCCCCTGCTAGCACACCTGGACACTGGAACACAATAGGAAGGACCCTCACTGGGCAGGGGCTGCCTGGTAGGTGGGGGACAAGAGTTCCAACCCCACCCAGACAAGGTGGTCCATTCAATAAGGTCAACACAACACACTGCAGGTGGACACACCTACGTCAAGGGAAGTGCCCTTACTTCACCTTAAGGATCTCGTTTGAGCCAAAGCCAGACAGCATCAGGGTATCCCGCTCCATGTCTAAAATGGCACAGGCCACCAGCAGGTGCAGATTGGGGCCAGGAAGCCCAGTCCACAGGACCTGGGGTATCAGAAGAAACCCTGAAGCCCTACTCTGATCTGCCCATCTCCCTTTACCTCCCCGTCCTTCCACCAGCATCTCACCCCAGCTGGCTGCCCACCTCCCACAGCCGAAGGACATCAGGGAAGGGAAATTCCCTCTTGAACCAGATGAGCAGCCACCGGAAGCAGAAGCACAGCGAGCCCGAGTCCTGGGAATCTAGAGGACAGCAGGCGGTTAGCCTTGCCGGCAGCTGGTGGCCAAGTCCTAGTCTAGATCCCAGTCGACTCAGCAGCTGGGATAGGCAGACAGGCATGGCTACACACGTGCTGCATAGGACGCCACCACCACTGCCTCCCTTTAGAGGGACAGGAACACAGGAAGACCATATACTACACCAAGGGAAGCAACTGGGGCCTGTGCACTCACAGAAGCACCCCGAGAATGTCAGTCAGTGTAGTAACCTGAGGACAGCATGAGTGTTAACATGGACACGGTCCCCACAAGCCAGCACAATTGAGGACCTGGTCTAGACAATTAGTGGCCAGAATATCTAGCAGGTGAGTGAAATCAGTCTCAGGCAAGTGTGACAGACAGAAGGCCACACACTCAGAAGAACTGCGTTTCCAGGGGACTTCCTGACAGAAGCAACTGTCTCCCTAGGCACAGAAAGTGCCGTGTTTACCTCCCAGCCAGCACGGTCCCAGGTTCCTCAAAAACACACTTAGGGTCTCAGTAGCTCAGGCTGGTTTCAAACTCACTATGTGGCTTCTGATCCTCCTGCTTCTACCCCATCATGCAGCAGGTGGTCTCACCCAGAGCTTCACGCATGTCAGCTGGGAATCCCAGCAACCGAGCCCTGGCCTCTTCAGCCTTTCTCATTTTAAACAAGCAACAAGGAACTCCCAGCTAGAATGCAGTGGTCCTAGCTGATGGTCCAGAGAAACCTCATCTAGCCTACAGTGGGCAGGCTTCCCCATCCCCCTAAGCTTTGAATGCCAGGTTATTTGGGACGTTTTTCTCATTCAGATGGTCGCACATAGGACTTACCCAGGAAATCACAGAGTGGCTGATCCAGCACCCGCAGAAGCAGCAAGAGCTGCCCGAGCTGCCGCTTCATAGTCTCCTGGCTCTCCTCAAAGTTCCCGTGCTGCGGGAGCAGGAAGTGTGAGAGCAGAGCACTGACCGGACACCTCAGCGGCTGTCCCACACCCCTCTCCCATCCTGTGCCTCACCACAAGTTCCATGAAGCCACAGAAACACCAGAAGGCATCCACTTCGTTCTGAACAACGAAGAGGATTGGGGACAGGAGGTCACTCATGCCCTGAACATAGCCTGGGGGAAAACAGGGTCAGCTGCAACACCTTGAGCACCTAAGACACCCAGCCTTCGCCCCATCAGTGCAGTGCTCACCCAAGTCGAAGTGGTACATGCAGTAGGTTAGGAGGATGTCATGGAGCAGGCCCAGCCCTGGGTTCTCAGGGCCTTCATAGAACTTGTTAGTCCTGTCGGTGCGGCTTACATCTCTCTCTGTGGGGGCCCAACATGGTAGGAGCAGAGAAAGGTTAGCTGGCCTTCCTAGCTGGTCACAGGCACCAGCCCTACTCTCCTGCATGCTGACAGCCCTCAGCTTCAGGGCTCATGCTACAGTAAGGGTGGGGGTTCCCCAGAACCTCTCATTGCCACCCCCAGTGTGAGACTCTGGGGAAATAGAGGCACAGAGGGGTAAAGTCACACAATCTCCCAGTGAGAGTCGACAAGGCCCCAAGACCTCTTTCCGTGTCCTGTCTCCTCCACTGCAGCTCAGCCCCATGGCCACAACATCCACCCAACTGTTTCCAGTCTGCCCCACCCTCCCCCACCCACCCACCAATGAGGCTACGGTATCCATGCAGCAGTGAGTTCCTCCGTTCCTGTTCAGCACTCACAGACTTCCACTGTAGCTTCATTCGGAAGTACTCATCCCTGAGGGCAGAGGTCAAGGAAGCTATGGTCCCTGCAAGCAAAGCACCCAGGGAACACCTGGAGAAGCACCTGCCCTGCTCACTCACACAGGTCCCCTGGTCCTGCCGCCCCATGGGCTTCTGGTAGTATCTGTCACCACCACTGCCTCTGCTGGAAAGCATGTCCAGGGCACTGAAGCACCCTCGGGTGTTCACAGGGGTTAGGCGCTCACAGGAAGGAGCTGTGGGAACTACAACAGTACAGCAACAGACTGCAAGGGACTCCCATCAGGGGGATGAGGCTATTCACTGCATACGGTGGTTTCGAACCAGAATCTGTGGGAAGCCCCAGTACAGTTCACAGCAAGGCCTATGCTGGCTCCAGGACACCCTAATCTGGAAGACTAGGGGGGCCAAGCCCAAGCCTGAGGGCAGAGATGTCTAAAGGATGTGGGGGCTACACGTTCTCACTCACGTTTTCTTCCGCACATGGGCTTTGTGTTCTTCAGCTGAACCCTCCCAGCTAAGGTACCCCAGGAGGAACTTCCATGCCTCCCGCCGCAGGCCAGGGCTGAGACCCTAGGGGTGCGATGGAGCACACAGGTCAGGGGCTTCCTCCTGGCCAGCTGCCAGCCCACCTTAGTCTACATCCACCGACACTCACCCCTGAGAAGATCCGATTTTTCAATTCAGGGATATTCTGCAGGTGACCATCAGGACCCACGTGGCGGGCCCATTCTTCCTCTGTGACTGGAAGAGCCCGCTCCACTGTGGGACGCCGCCCCAGCTCCACCTGCAGAACACAGGGGCACGTGAGCCCTGAGCCCTCCTGGGCTGGAGGAACCCTAAAGACCAGGGGTCAGCAGGAGCTTCCAGAAAAGAAGGCACCTGAGAACAGCAGCAGCCACAGGCAGCCCTGAGACAGAAGGATCACATAGTACAAGGCCAGGGTGGAAAATTGAGACATCTAGTCTCAAAAACCAGAAATGGTTGGGGAACTGGCTCAGCAGGGGAGTTCTGCTCTAGATCACCAGTGAGGCTCTGGAGTGGGAATCAGTGGCAGAGAACCTGCCTAGCATGTAAGAGCCCCTGGGCCGCATGGATCCTCAGCTCAAGAAAGACATCCACCAAGTGCACGAGGCACGAGCCCATTACACAAGACTCCTGTGAAGTCACTGATTACACAGTTCCAGATACCGGTTTCACGTAACCAAGGTGCTGCGGAATCCTGAACTAGGCAGAGATGCGTTACCACAAAGAACATTGCTGTAACTGTATGATGCTGTGTTACTTTTGTTTCGCTGCACGTTTTAACGATGCTAAGGATGTGTGTTTGTTATGTAGAGATGTGCTGCATTTATTTTACCTTGCCTGCCTAAGGCACCTGATTGGTCTAATAAAGAGCTAAATGGTCACTAGCTAGGCAGAGAAAGGATAGGCAGGGCTGCCAAGCAAGAGAATGAATAGGATGAAATCTGGGCTCAGGAAAGAACAAGAAGAGGAGAGAGTAAGTGATACACCTGGGGCCAGAAACCAGGCAGATGCCAGACAGAGAAGCAGTGAAAGTCAGTTTCAGAGACGTAAGAAAGGTAATAAGCCCACAAAAGAGAGACAGAGCAGGCAAAAGATAGATAAAAAGAAACAGGTTTAAAAAAAAATAAAGTTTTTTATTTTAAAATATTTTTAAATATTTTAAAATATTTTAAAATATTTAAAATAATTTTTTTTAAAAAAAAAAATAAAGTGAGCCTAAGCTAGGATGAGCATTCAAAACTAATAAGTCTCTGTGTCGTGATTTGGGAGCTGGCTGGTGGCCCAACAGAAAAAGCCTGGAGAAAACCCAGTTCCTGAAGCCA